CAGGCCTAGCTGTCCGAAACGCCAGCAAATCCACAAATTTATTCCGGTGAGCAGAAAATGAATTCTTATTCTTATTTCGGAATTCTGACTTTTTTCAAATTTGAGAATAAATGTGTTATTCCAGCGACCGAATCTTCTTCTCCTTCTGACTTGCTTCCTGGGGTTCGCATGTTCACTTGTATCATAAATGTAAAATTGGGCAGTAAGAAGGTCGAGAGGAAATTGTAAGTTAGCAGACAGGAGAACTGACTAACGCTTTTATTTTAAGGCCAGCAACCTTAGCCTGGGTCTTTTCAGAGGAAACCCGCTGAGCCTCGCGTAGCTTGTCAATCTCGCGCTGCGCCGCATCTAGTTTACCCCGAAGCTCCTCCGCCTCCGTTTTGGCCTGCTCTGACCTGGCTAGAGCCTCAGCCGTCTTACCCTCAGACAACATGAGGGTGGCACGTACTGATTCTAGTCGGGTGTCCGTGTGGTTGAGCATCTCAACGAGTTTCCTTTGTTGGTCGTCTGCGTGGCCCTGCAAAGCCTCTTCAAAGCGCACTCTCGAGGCATCAAGTTCAAGGTAGAGTTGTTGACATGTCATTTCAGCCTTGGATAGGGCAAACAAGCAGGGTTGTGACGAATAAGGCCGTGTTTTAAGGATTAAATGAGGGTCTATTGCAAACCTGACTGGCTTTCAGTCTGGTAATCACAAATTATGAGTTTAGAATAGTGAAACATATTTAGGAGGATGGAAGTTAACGATGGCAGGATGCCAGTGGTGCGAATACATCTGATCTTTGTAGCAACTTTGCCAGTTCAGCAAACAGGCACAGGTTTATGGCGAGAAAAGACGTTTTTTAAGACTTAAATGATGGTCTAGCGTTAAACCGACGAGCACTCAGGTCGGTGATCAAAAAGCCAAATGTATAAATCAAGCCATAAAGCCTTCAATTCTAAGCGTATATATCAGAGGGCCAAAGTATTCAAAGGCAGCCTCCCACTTGGCGTTTTGGTTTGACCTTTTACCATACGATTTGAAAATAAATCACTGTTGAAAGACTGCAAGGTGCGGCTGAATTCTGGAGGTCCTAAAATAGATCAATAATCCCGTGTTCGATATGTTTGTTGCGTATCCATCTCACTTCAACATATGCGTGTTTGGTAAGTCATCTAATATATTGTAAATGATGGCTTAGAATAGATGGAAAGTTAAAAAGAGATACTGCGCAAAAGCCCTTCGGCGGTATTTATTGCGGTAAAAGCATGCAATCAAGGTCACGTTATTTCTCTCATCATAAATGCGTAAGTATACATTATTTTTCCATCGTCAAAAACAAATTTTTGATTTTCCTATAGCAAAATATATTTCCCGTGTGTGCGGTAATGGCTTTTTAGTATTGGGTTAATCGAGGTTCGTGATTTAGATGAGTATAAAATTTCTCCTAATAATATTTAGTTGGAAAA